AAAAAACCATATTCAGTCTCTTCAGTGGACAATGCAAAAAATGTGTAAATCAATACTAATGGGTTTAGGTCTGACCTATAGGAACCCTTTTATAAAAACGTGTATTTGTATCATGGGGTTGCCTAGAATTATTTGGGGGTTAATTTCTATTGATCCTTTTCACCACCTCTATGAAAGTGAAGTTAAACATGATAGATATGAAAAGAATACTGATTGGGTTACTGGTAATTCGGATCTTTAACACAGGAGGAGGTCTGAACCTGAGGCTTATATGTATCTGTTAACCTTCATTATGGAGCTGTCAGTGGATGAACTCACTAGATTCAATTTATTGACTGTTGAAATCAGATTTCAGAGGTCGAGAAGACAGAACATATGTGTAAAGTCTGCACTGCAGTTTGGCTTGCTCTTTGGGTAAGACTGCCTTTACTAGGTAATTTTGGCCATGAGACATGAATCACAGGACCTACCAGTTTCAGCACTAACCACCACCTACACACACACACACACACACACACACACACACACACACACAGATACAGAACTACAGAGGGTGCCAAAAAAACGTATATGCATTTTAAGAAAGGAAAAAACTGCATTAAAATTACACTGATGGTGACCACTTTGAGCACCTCTTGTAATTGCAGAAGTCAAATGTGACTTGTATTCATCTTTTGGTATCGGTATGTATGGAGTATTACAATTTTAATAAATTTTTTCCTTTCTTAAAATGTGTATACATTTTTTGGCACCTTTTTGGCACCCTCTGATCAGCATGTTTGTGTGCTACAGGAGTCCAGGACCCAACAGGCTCATCTGGATTCTCACATATTCTCTGAAGCACTCTGTGTGTGGGAGGGGTGGGGAGGGGTGATGGCGGTGGGGCACTAGAGTGATACCTAAGCACAGGCACCAAAAAGGCTGGGGTTGGGGAAAGAGGTGAACCTGACATCTAAACTTGAGGAAGCACAGAGCCTGGAAAATGGTTCCACATGTATCTCTGCAGTAGAGCTGTATCACGAATAGACATAAGTAATTTGTTGGTATAAAGTTTTAAACCACTTTTGAAATGCTACTGAACTCTCTTCCAGAGTACAGGAAGCGCCTTTTATTGGTTTGTTTTCTCAATTCTTAGCCGTGTTCACTGAATGGAAAAGTAGGAAACGAATTAGTCACTGCTCTACTGGAAGAAACTGTTTAATCTACACTCATGTAGACAAGACATTAACTACTTAAGGCTATGTGCTAAACAAAGTTTAAATACTATAATCCCCCCTTAACCCTAATCTAATCTACGTTTTCGAACTTCTTCATTTCTACTGTAATCCAATAAATTATAATTCTGGAAGCTCTGCAAAATTTATACTGGCTTTCTTTCCAATGATGTTATGCTGGATTGTATATTTATACACTGTTTTAAAAATTTGGTTAAATGTTATAGCCTTAATCCTGATTTAAAGAAATCTGTGAGTTCCCTCGGTGGTCCCCCGGATCTGTCTCTTGCTTCAACAGTGTTTGGATGGAACAGACCCAGGGACACCCCTTCTTCCAGCCTCTGACCACCCTCCAACCTCTTTTCTAGTCTCAACATTCAGAACCAACTCAGCCATCCTCGGCCTCTCAGTCCAGCCAACACCATTATTTGAGTTTAACTCCTTATCGCTGAGCAACCATGAGCTCCCAAGTTCGTCAAAATTATTCCACCGAGGTGGAGGCCACCGTCAACCGCCTGGTCAACTTGCACCTGCAGGCCTCCTACACCTACCTCTCTCTGGGCTTCCATTTCGACCGTGACGATGTGGCTCTAGAGGGCGTGAGCCACTTCTTCCGCGAGTTGGCCGACGAGAAGCGGACGGCTACGGAACGTCTCTTGAAGATGCAAAACCAGCGTGGCGGTCGCGCCTTCTTCCGGGACCTGCAGAAGCCTTCCCAAGACGAGTGGGGTGAAACTCAGGATGCCATGGAAGCTGCCATGACCGTGGAGAAGAACCTGAACCAGGCCCTTTTGGATCTGCATGCCCTGGGTTCTGCCCACGCAGATCCCCATGTCTGTGACTTCCTGGAGTACTTCCTAGATGAGGAGGTGAAACTCATCAAGAAGATGGGCGACCACCTGACTAACCTCCGCAGGCCGGCCAGCCCGCAGCCCGGGCTTGGCGAGTATCTCTTTGAAAGGCTCACCCTCAAGCAGGACTCCGAGCCTTTGGAGCCCAGAGGCCTTTGAGGGGCCGCTCTGTATCCCCTGGCATTGGGCTCCTGCCTAAGCCTCTCCCTGAAACCGCTATGCAGCCTTCTCTAACCGCGCCACAACCCCAGAGCCCTCTCCCATGCCCTGGACCAAATTGAAATAAAGCTTTTTGCAGAAAAAAAAAAAGAAAAACATCTGTAGTGGAAGCATATGTGGAATTTTGCAGTATTACTAAATCATGTCAAAATCTGTCACAGTATATATATTGTGCAAGGTGACAAATTTAAAAAATCATCAATGATGCTGCATTCTATATTACTAACACAGTGAAGATGTTTTGGTAGATTTTATTCACATAAATTTTTAAATCATAAAGTCATGAATTCAAACAACATGATCAAAATATACTTTACTTTAACTTAAGGCACTACATACAATTTTTTTTTAAAGCACACTCATTTCATTTTACTTACACACTATTTTAAGAATTGACAATACACACGTTCCATCTCATCCTTGTCCTTCATTTGTAGCTGTATGTATTCACAATGAAGTAAAACCCTCCAAATAAAAGGAATTAAATGCAATCATCTTTAAAGTTTACCAGATATGGGCAAGAGAGGGAGAAACCCAAGAACAATGCAAAGGCACTTTTAATCCTTTAATGTTCCAATAATTTATTTTTAAATTCTTATAGAAGTTCAGTGGAACAACACAAAGCCTATAGTACAGAGCATTGAAATAATTTATTCTATTGCTGTTTACCAGAAGAACTTGCATATTAATCACAGTAGAACTTTTATAAGTGTAGTTATTTTGAATTCACTCACTGAATAAAAAACAATAAAAAGTTTTCCTATTACCTTTGAGTATTATTGTCATAAACAGTTCAATGTTTCCTGGAGTTAAACTTTCTAGCCCCCCAGAAAACATAGCAGCATATTAGTCAATTATTTACCAAAATACACCAAAACCCTCAAGTAAAAGGCTAGCTTTTCTAATAGATTTTCCATGCACTAGAGCAGTCATTGGCTTTAACAGTGATAATGTTTTAAAGATACACAAGAATTAACACAAAGTTCAATATAATAATATATAATGTCTCTTTGATTAAATAAATACTGTTCTTGTCCCATTAACATATATATAAAATTTACAATTTTCATTAAAGTCACTACTTTGAGAATGGCATGAAAGCAAGACAAAAAGGTAAATGTCTTTTGTTCACAGGTTAGACCTGACATCCCATTCCTATTCCATCCCATATAAAATCTACTCGCAAGCTGAACACCATGGACAGATTTCTGAAACTCCTAACTACCAATCAAGCTAATGCAGTCACTCAAACTCACAACACTCCCAAGGACCAAACTCTACTCAACTAGTATAAAATATCCTGCTACTATTTTAAAAATGTCCACTGCTTTAAATGTGATGGTTCTACTCTGTTGTTTCTTAATGGAAATTGAAGTAGAAAGAAATTTTTCTGATTTCATTCAGATCAGATTAACCTTCAGGATTCCTTTTATGTGAGGAAAAACATCAGAAAAAGCAAAATTCGTCCTATTGGTTTGCTGTTCCCAATACAGTCAACTTTGACCAATAATAGCATGAACTATTTATGCAGGATGTGGAAAGACTTCTCAAGAACCCCAAATAGAATAGGCACAAAATACCGGATCAGGAAATCAGCATGACCGAACACGGTGAATTATATAGTTGATGATGAGCACCATTGTTCTTAACCTTCATAGATAATTAACATTTAACTGGGCTGCCTATTTACTGTAGATTAATTTTGTATCTGCAAAACAGTTACCTAGTTTATTTTATATTGTCAAAACTTTAAAGATCACACTATGAATATCAATTGCTTACCTCAGGTTGTAATGAGTGGTTCTTGAACCCAATTTTTCCTCTAACACAGCGGTTCTCAACCTTCCTAATGCCGCGCGACCCCTTAATACAGTTCCTCATGTTGTGGTGACCCCCAACCATAAAATTATTTTCGTTGCTACTCTATAACTGTAATTTTGCTACTCCTATGAATCGTAATGTAAGTATCTTTTTGTTTTCCGATGGTCTTAGGCGACCCCTGTGAAAGGGTGGTTCGACCCCCAAAGGGGTCGCGACCCACAGGTTGAGAACCGCTGCTCTAACAGGTACAATCTAGTCAGCCACAACTCAGTTACTTCATATTAATTTTGATATTAGGAGGTACCACCTAGCACTCAGGATAGGGAATGTTAGGCAATGTTGATAGTTTATTCTACCACTTAACATATGAATAATGTAAAAGATCAAAAGATGTGAAATTCCATTTTAAATTTAACTACTCTATTGTCTAAAAAGTAAGGCATAAGCATCCCAAAGGTGAACATAAAATCTCTCTTCCTCATTCTGACCCAATCAAAACCAGATTTATAATCAGGTCATAAATATTTCTGCCGCACTCGGAAATCTCTGCTTACAATAAACGAGAGAAACTTAAAAACAGTAACAAAAATGAATGAATTTTAAAAATCATTTTAACTTGTGAGTTAGAAGAAAGCAAACAACTATGAACTGCAAATATAACCTTTTCTGAGAGCTGTGCCTACGGTCCAGTCCACCTCTGATGGACTTTATGCCTTCTAGAAGACGCATAAAGTCTGCACGCCCACAACACGCAAACATACTCGTGCACACACAAATAATTAAATAACTTAAGCAAAGGCAGTAAGCACAAATAGAAAAACGCATTTTTCTCTATTTTCTTAATTTCTTATGAGCAATGACCTTCAAAAGATAAAACTTTGAGACTTCAACAGTGTAAGGGTCTTAACAAAGACACAGTGGTGCAGACCAAGGCTTCGTACCACACTGTCATTGTTGGTTTATTTTTCACAAAAGCTTTTCTTAAAATAGTATCTTTATGTGCTAGCTCTTTTCTGCCTGGGTAACTGATTTTATTAACCATCACAGAGAATTCCCTAACTCTCTGTGAAGGTTTACTTGGGATACAAACTCTATTAAAGGTAAATATAAAAATATAGGTAACTTTTTCTCTCTGATACACAAAAATCCACTAATTGCATAAAGATTCCATTGTTTCATTTACAAATATAAAAACTTATTAGAAAGGCATGCCTACTAAATTATGGTATATTTTCATCTGAAGATGTGTTAAATCTTCATTGCAAAAAGAAAAAAAGTCAGAGGCAGTATTTTTCTTAAAAAATGTTTCTAGTTAGAGAAATAGCTGGTGTTAACTAATGATTTACTAAAAATTTTTACTATGGACAGGGTGTTTTTTTTTCCTTTTTGTATTACCTAATAATGCATCAAAACAAAACAAAAGGAAAAACAAAACAATAACTTTAGCATGCATGGTGTCAAGTCTTTGTCATTCAAAGCATATTTTTTCATAGTTATAACACCTTGGGTATATCCTTGGTTTTGTGACTAAGCGAAGATACTTTGTATAAACCTCAACACACGTTAGTCAATTAAAGGATCATCATCATCTTCTTGCAGCTGAAGTCGGGAAAATGGCTGCGGCACAGAGAGTCTATTCTGCATGATTATCATAAGGCACGTTAGAGTGGTTAAGACCAAGAGTGCACCAATAACAATTCCAATGGCTTCTGGCAGTTTAATGCACCATTGGTCAACTAACAAACACTTAGTATGACCAAAGCTTCCATTATTGGGGTGTGGTTCTAATCCCAGGATGTGGCACATCATTGGATAAATATCCACATTGTTAATTGTGTTGTATTTGTAGCCTTTGTGAAATGCAGGACCGTGGGCAGCCAGAAATGGATGCATACTCGGCAAAGAATTATCATAGCCATGGTCACCTACTGAAAAAGAACAAAATAATGTTAGTAAATGAGAACAGTCTATCACAAAATAAGTTGCTTTAAGTGTAAATATACTAGAGTCTTGCCAGTGTAATTCCCATCATTAGAATTCTTATTAGTTGGACCAGACAGGGGCCAGAAATAGAATTTTCTATTTTCTTCAACTCAGCCATGTTCCCTATTTCATATACATACCCCTTTTCCCAATTGGTTATAGCCTCAGACTTTAAAACTATTTCTCAGTCTGATGTACTTATCTTTCAGTCCTAGCCCCACCTATTTCACTTGTTCATTGTCAGCACTATTTGCAAACAGCACCAGTGATAAAAACACTGGTCTGGCTGAGAGTTCTGAATACTGGGGTGAGTGGAAGTGAGTAAAATCTGTGAGTGGCGGAAGTGAACCTGCAGACTTACCTATGTCATTGCTCCTGTGATAAAAAATAGGATGACATAATGTGCTACTTACTGGTTTATTGACAGTTAGTTAATTAACATCTCAACATCTAGAGGGCCAGTTAATTGAGAAAGTTACAGATGGGATTCTTGTATTCAATGTGAAATTTAACCAAATGCTCCAACTTGTAACACTAGTAAAAGTCTAACTCAGAGAAAAACATGATGGTCCCAGGTAGAACTCCAATACCAGATTCTCAAATTTTAGCTTCATTTTTAACAAATATTGCCTTTTAATGTACATCACTTGCACTTAATAAGCTCCCACTGTCATATGAAGTGTAGGGACTGAGTGATGAGTATATCAGTGTTTGTTATATTATTCTTTAATTATATGTTCAAAACACTGCATAATAAAAAGGCATGACTAATATAAAAGCAGAATACAACACTACATATAGATATTGTGATTTCAATAATGTAAAAATATGCAAGTATACGCAATAGAAAAAAAGATTAGAGGGAAAATCTCCCACAATTAATTAACATTTGTCTGTACCTCTAAATCGAGAGATTATAGTTTTTGTTCTCTTTTCTAAACTTTTCTGTATTTGCCAAGTTTTCAACAATAGATATATAGAAAAAATATAAACAATGTATAATGCCATTAACCTTTAGTTTTATTCTTGCCTGATGCTTCTGAATTGCTACAGATAAGAGATGTGAAGACTACAGCCCTGCAGTAAAACCAGCCCCTCACCTGCTTTTGTAAACAAGCTTCACTGGAAAACCTTGTGTCAGTTTGCTTACACCTGTTGTCTAAGGCTGTTTCCCCCACTGTAAGGGCAGACTTGAGTGGCTGAGACAGAGACCAGCTGGTCCACAAAGCCTAAAACATTTACTGCCTGGCCTTTTACAGGAAGTTTTTGTACCCCTACTATAGACTACAAATTAAGATTTTTTAAAAAAGTATTCAAATTGAATGTAACATAAGGATAAGTGAGCTTGTTTCAGGGAAGACCTGTAACTCTCCCCTATACATTTCCTCAGTTCTAGAAAAGATTTTCATACATCTATTTTGTTTACTCTATATTTTTATTTGTTTACTTTCTGGTTCTTGCCAAATATTCTAAATAGGTGTAGCACTCAGGTAAATGATTTCATCATTTGGGAAAGACTTAGGGTTACCTGGACATTTTTTTTAACATAAAATAAAGAGAAATTTCAACTAATCACTCCTCTTTCACTTTCTTTACTTCTCTCTCTTTTGTTTACTTCCTTCTCTTTCATTTTCTACAAATCTCGAGAACCAATCTTGAAAGTCACTGAGAGTAACTGCAACTTTGGTAAGAAAGTAAAACTATACCTTCATCCCCAATGTCAACCAATCTTCTAATCTAAGGGTGAAACTGTGGTTACGGTAAATTGCTATCAAATGAAAACCTGAGAATGGAATGAAGACCTGACAATTATCTAGTTGGAAATTGAACTAATTATACTGTGTCAACATCTCTAAATCAACGTATCTTGTTAACGGAACAATATCACAATGTATGATTTAGCCCTAGGACACAACAGAACAATCCTAAATTAATACTTACATCTTGTTGATGATTTATTTAGCACAATCGTCCAGCCTTCATCTGCAACCAAAACAACAGGCTGAATTCGACTGTTATGTTGGTAATGAAATCTGGCAGGAATGTCCTCTTTGAGATAAACATTCAAGTGAGAGCTACAGTTTTTTAGTTTGTTATAAACCTCTGTTTTATCTGGCAGAAAAGGAAATAGTAAAGGGGGAAGTCATGGTTAACTGATAATGAAAAAAATACTTCTAATTAGAATAACTGGAAAAAAATTCTGAACAATATCATCTATCTACTAAATCATTTTTAATTCTTAAAAACAAAAAAAAAGCAATAATCATGTGACACTGTGGGTTATAACACCGCCCCCCCCACACACACACACACACTCTCTCTCTTTTCCAAGCATTCCCATATCTCTTTTTTCATTTTGTTATTCCTGGTGAACTTTTTATAAAAAGTGGACAATTTTCACATCTAGCTTCCTAAATAAAAATAAACTAATTACATATTACTACTAATTACTAACTCTAAGATCAGTAGACAAAAATCCAAGATGTTTTTTAAGGGTAGAAATTTCCTTTTTCTATTAGCATGAATAATTACAAAATATATCAAAAAGCAAAGAAATAATCACTTTGAACTGAAACCTTTAATTTCTTAAAAACATGTAAATTAGGGGGGAAAAACATATAATCCCACTCTGAATAAGTGTAAGAATATATGGTCCTGAACTACAAAAGCCAGAGCTTCATTCTTTTGCAAAACCCTCCCTCCTCAATCCATTGCCCCATTCAAATATCCCTTAGCTAAAAGTTTACTTACTTATTTTGGGAAGTATCGCAGCAACTGGGGTCAAATCTATAAGAGTGTAGTCTGAACGATTGATGCAGAGATCCAAGTTGATCAGTCTGTCCTTAGAACACTGGGCCATCCCGTGATCACTTGTAATGATTACATTAAGATTTTCCCACAAGCCTAACATCTTGAGTTTGTGGACCAGGTCACCAATAAGGTCATCTATTTTTTTCAACACACTGCGCATGTTGTCTTTATCTTCAGGTCCGTATTTATGTCCACTTGCATCTGGCTCTTCCCAATAGAGTGTTGCAAAGGTGACTGGTGGGTTCGAGTTGCTCAGCCACATGGTAATATTATTTAGTCTCTCCTCAAATGACACTGAGGAGTTGTAATTCATAAAATAGGAAGGTGTGGTATTGTGGATGGGTATGTCGGTACCAGGCCACATCGCAGCAGCACTTGATCTGTTTTCCTGAAGCTGATTGGTCACCCAAATTGGTACTGCCTCATTCCACCAAAAAGGATCCTTGTAATTAAAGTCAGAAAAATGTTTCTCTGTGATTACATCATACATGGAATTGGCCACAATGCCATGGCTTTCTTCATACAAGCCTGTCACAATACTGTAGTGGTTTGGAAATGTTTTGGTGATGAAAACATTTTTAACATGCTCTACCAAGACACCTTCTTTGATAAAATTCTGCAGATGAGGAAATTCATAGTTCTGCAGATAGTCAGCTCTGAAGCCATCAAAGGACACCAAAAGTAACTTTGGTGGCAAACTGTAGGAAGAGTTACCTCTACAAGCAGTTATAAGTCCAGAAAATAAAAGTGTTACTAGTAACTTCATAATGAACACGTTGAAGGGGAATGATCAGGGTTCCTAAAATAGAAAAACACAATTTATAAGTAGTAAGGTTATTTCATTGGGGTTAGGTTTCTAAAGTTTAGCCATCAAGAGAAGAGAACCAACATTTATAAATTTTTTATAACCCAGCTTTAACTACATCAACTTAAAAATTAAATAATGTCATTTACTGAAAGATAACTGAATAAAGCTAGAATTGGAAAAGCTAAAAATTGCCTTTACTTGTCCAGTTTCCTTTTTACATACGTCCTGCCCCATCCTTCATGCTCTGAAGGGGATACAGGCCATCCTTATACTCCACATAAATACTCATGCTTGGCTGCCTTGCTCATCTGCAGCAGCAGCAATTAAGCTTAATAAGAACAGATGAGGAAACAAAAATTATCCTTTTGCACAAAACAGAAACAATGCCAAGTTTTCAGAGGCTCCAGAGAGGGAGATGATTTTTCTAGTTTAATGACTGGTACCACAGAAATAGGTGGTGGAAATTCTACCATGTTGGTTTATCACCAGTTCTTGTTGAAAAACACTGGCATACAAAAGGGGAGTAAGAAATAAATACGTATTATTTGAGAGAAAGGTCCTACCTCAGTCTGCACCTATACAATATTCACATGAGGCTGACAGACAGACAAAGCCTCCAGGGACTTGGATGCCACAGTAACTTCTAAAGGAATCCACCAGCTGTTGAAATGAATTTCATCAGCATATCCTTCTTAAACACCCCTTTTACTGTCAAATACATAACTATTCTACCTGATAACCCAGGCTCAGAGCTCTCCCTGGTTTTTCACTCTTTTTTTAACAATCCATGGATTACAATAAATCTCCCTGCCTTCAGCCTCCAACTTCTTTGGTCTCTAAGAAAATAGGATATGTGATTTAGATAGAATTATTCACTGTAGAAGGGCAGGATACCTCTTCCACCATAACAAGAGAGGAGCAAAGCAGGAAGCGAACAGATTTGAGAGCTGAAGGTGAAGCGAGCTGCATTCTCCGAGTTGCGAGAGGTAGCAGGGTCAATTATAGAGGGAGTAAGGAGGTAAAAGAGCGGTTGTTTAGGAACACAGAAAGATGGCCAATGTGGAGACTGCGAGAGAGGAAATGGGAGGACTGGTGGTCAATGCTGACAGCTGGTGTCATGAATTTTTAGAGTGACACTGTTGATTGGTTTTCTCTAGCAATTCAGTGGCCCTGGCACAGGCATGAACAAAACAAGCCCTACGTGGGCTTGCAATTCTGCCAGAAACTGAAGTATGATGAAGGAAGTATCTAAAGAGTGGCTGACTTTGAATTGCAGCATCTAAACTGAAACTAAAACAGATGTAAGGAGTGGAAAGGTTTTTAGACTAGAGGTCCTGCTGAAGTGAAGAACTAGCATTTTGAAAGTAACTTTCAGTGAACGTTGCAGGGATGAGGGCTTGTGGTCTGAGTGAGGTGAATGCATTCATTATTTCAGGTAAGAAGACTCAAGGAATGGCCATAGGGATATGCACCTAGATGTCCTAGGCATAAACAGCAACAAGTTATCTCATATGATGATTAAGTTCACAAGTCATGTATTTTGGTTCTTCTTTCTCCCAATTAGGCTGCAACTCCTCGAAGGCAGAGACTTTTTTTTCCTTTCAAACATATAACCTAGATGATCTGTATATGTGTAGTCATTCAGATACTTACTGATTGAAGCTGTGACCCTCTGAAAACCAGGGACTTAAAATTTTGAAGACCAAAGGCACAGACCCTTGTTTGTGAGGATCTTTGGGTCTGGAAAATCTCTAGCATTTTAACCTGAGATGGGCTGCTTTCTGAGTGTCGTACATGAGTCATCGGTTGCTGGTGCCATCCAAGAAACGAAAACCAGTATAGAGTAACAAAAACCACCTCTCCAAAGAAAAGAGTAACAGTTCTCATTAGTACAAGAGACATACTTTGCACAGACGCAGCCTGTCACGTCTCAGCAGTTTCACCTATCAAGAATCTGGACAGCAGTATTTCTCTTTTCATTCAGCATTCGGTGCCCCCTGACCCAGTATTTATGCAGAACTCGTTTCCTACCTTGGGCAGTCACAACTTGGTTTAATCAGACAACAATGCTATGCAGGCTGCTGCTCTGGGTTCCAGCGATCTTAAAACTTGTGTGGAGGGCACACGGATGGCCATGAAAGCTTGGATTGGGCAGATTCCCTGGTTTCTCTCTGAGTGTAGCTGCTTCCCCATACCAGCGGCCCAAACCAGGACTGATTCTTCTCAAGAATGGTTTTTTCCTCTAAGAACCCTCAGCTTCTGTTTTTCTTTTCAGAACACTCTGAGTATTGTGTAGTTGTGTAAGACCCTTGAATATATCTTTATCATTTATTTTTAGCCAAAGCCTGCTGATTCATGTACGCTAGGCTGACAACCAAAATAAAACTATATTAAAAAAAAAAAAAAAAACCTCCTAGAAGAAAATACAGGAGTAAATCTTTATGACCTTGGGTTAGGCAAAGTCTTCTTAGATACAGGACCAAAAGCACAGGTGACAAAAAAGAATAAATTTGACTTCCCTGAAATGAAAAACTTTTGTATTTCAAAGGATACCATGAAGAAAGAGAAAAAAACCCACAGAATGGGAGAAAATATTTGCAAGTCATATATCTGATAAGGGATTTGTATCTAGAATATATAAAAAACTGTAACAACTCAATAATAAAAAGCCAAACAATCCAATAAAAAAAAATGAGCAAGGAATCAGAAAAAAACACGTTTCCAAATAAGTACATAAAAAGATGTTCAACATCATTCGTAGTCAGGGAAATGCAAATCAAAACCACAATGAGACACCACTTCACACCACTAGGATGGATATAGTAATCAGAAACACAGATAATAACAAGTGTTGGCAAGAATATGGAGAAAATGAAACTTTTATACACTGCTGGTAAGAATGTAAAATGGTGCAGACACTTAGAAAACATTTTACGTTTTGGCAGTTCTTCAAAATAAACATATGACCCAGTTACCATATGACCCAGCAATTCTACTATTAGGTATATGCCCAAGAGAAATTAAAATGTACATCCACACTAAAACTTGTACACAAATACTCACAGCAGCATTATTCCTAACAGCCAAGAAGTACAAACAATTCAAATGTCCATCAAGTGATAAATGAATAAATTAAAAAATAAATAAAATGTAGTATTACCATACAATGGAATATTATTTGGCAATAAAAAGGAATGCAGTACTAATACATGCTACAACTTGAATAAAACTTGAAACGTTATGCTAAGTGAAAAAAGGCAGTCACAAAAGATCGCTTATTGTATCATTCTATGTAGATAACATGCCTAGAATAGGCAAACTTATAGAAATCGAAAGTACATTAGTAGTTGCCTGGAGCAAAGGGTTGGAGAGAAATGAAGGGTAAATGCCAATAGGTATGAAGTTTCTTTTTGGGGTGATAAAAATGTTTTCAAATTGATTGTGGTGATATTGCACAACTCTGTAATTTACTATTTTACACTTTAAATGAGTGAACTGGATGTGAATTATATCTCTATAAAACAATTATGTATGTAGTAGAGGGAAATTAAATTGTAATCTTAAAAGCATCTGAAATGCCATACCGCAAAACTGGCAACATCTCTGAAGTCTCATTTTACCTCAAAAATTATGTGAAATTTGTACTTCATAATACAGACTTGGGTGTTTTACTGTGAAAATATTTTACACAACTTCCCATATGCAAAACAACAAACAAAAGCCTGTGCACAGCCCTCTCTCTCACAAAATACATACAAATCAAAGTCTTCCCCAAATCTTGAGTGAAACGGATGCTCCAGGTGCATATGCTCTCTATCCTGGGGTCAGTAATCCTTTGACACACTGGTGGATCCCAGGGCCCCAGTCCTTGTCCCCAGGGTTGAAGCACAGACAAAGCGGAAAGATTAGAGGCTCTGAAAACACAAAGATCCCAGAGCTTGGCTCACAGTTAGTCGATGGACGATCTTAGGCAGATCTAATTTCTCCCAGATTCAGGATGTTTGTGTGTACAATGAGGATGCATCAAGTGTTACAGAACAGACCCTCAAGTACAGTTTCCTTTTATCCTTTCGAGTTGCAACGCTGTCACATTACATTAAAAAGTCTGTAGTATGATAGGCAGAATGATATTATTGTGAAACGAAATAACTGGAAAGAATTTAACCCCTTCTTTTTACCTATGATGAGGCGGAAGTTCGGTGGTTGCCCAAGCTCAGAAAGAAATTAAGTCGCTTTGCTGTGTTCGTACTAATTTCAGGTCCTCAACAAATTTATGAGTCTAGTAACAGCAAATTAACAAGTCTAATGAGAATCTCCAAACTATTAACAGAACTTTTCTGCTAGAACATCTTTCATTAGCAGTGCCTGTATTTCTGTCTAGCACATTCTGTTTCACTTAACAGGGAGTATTAAACTATAAACAAAACACCAGTGAGAAGTTCTCAAGTAGTTTTCAAGGAATAAATATCACTAGTTGTTACATTAGAAAACATGGGGAAGCATTTTGTAATTTTTCAAACAAAAAAAAAATTTGAAGGGGGAAACAGAAAAGCAGACTCATCTGGACTACATCCAATTATCCCAATGGGAACCAGAAGTAGTTGGTAGTCTTCTTCATGTCAGGGGACAAAACACTCTACCTGGCCTGGCATGACTTCCTTATCTGCACGGAATGCATGTCAGGCAGTTCTCTCTGGCATTCTTAGCCCATGTGAAGTTGAGACAGTATAAGTTACAAGATATAGTGAAAGATACTTGTCTCCATTAGCATGCCATCTGCTCTGTAATACAATAGCTTTATTCTGAGCGCTTCACAAATATTATTTATAATGCAACTCATACGGCTTTAAAACAACATTGTCTATGGACATAGCTAATTTAGGTGGCTTCCTTTAGTTTATTTTCTTAATATTCTAAGGAAATAATATAACTACTCCTTAAAAGACTTGCTCTGTCTTTTCTAGGATTCTGAATTATTCTCCAATTTTCCAGAGCCCACAAAATTGTCTGGCAAGTATCTTTAAAACAGTTAGCTATATTACTTTGTACATGGTAAAATGCCCCCTCCCCCACCATGTACTCTTTCGGTTTTCATCAAAATTTCTCCCAAATATTTCATAGCTAATTTCAAAGCAAGGAGGAGATATGTGTATTAAATAAATTGCCTGGAACAACCTCTAGGGGAAAAAGAAAAGAAAACCATAATAGTAAAACAAGCAGGTGACTTCCTACAGTACTTGTCAGTTTTCAGGCTTAGGGCCACCAGGTCGCCTGGTGGTTAGGCAACACCCTTCTGGGATCAAACCCGGTACAAACTTGAATCTGCCTGTCGCACAATCCTGGACACATAATTTCTCTGAGCCTGACTCTCTTCCCTTGTATAACGGGATGTTATCATCTTATAGGGCTGTTGTGCCCAGAAAAGGAAGTGCTGTTTGTAAAGTGCTTCACACAGTGTCCAGCTCATAAGCAGCACTTAGATGTTATCTTTACTGTTTGGTTTTCTGGGAAATTCGTTTATAAATTGGATTATATAATTACCATAAACTCTAATCTACTGTTCAGGCAGATGCCTGTTGATGCCTTCGACGGTGTTTTCTTTTTGTTTTCGTTTTTTGTTTTAAATCAAACGCCCATCCCGCAGGCCTGTCGCCCCTCGTTTTCACCCGCACCCACCTTCGCCCCTCCGCTGATGTTCAGCCAACCGTCCTCGCCCCCCCTGCACACCGCAGCCTTCCCAGCCCAAACCCACCTGCTACGCTGTCTTTCCGCTTCCCACGCCTCCCTCCTCCTTCCTCGCGACCAGCTACCGCCCCGCCCGCCCCGGGCCCCTTCGCCGACGTCCCCGCCAGCGCCCCAGGACGTGTCGTGGGGGAGGGCGTTTCTCACCGCCTTTAGGTTCAAAGCCCTTAAGACGTAAGGAGACGGTGACTTTTCCCTGCAGAACGCCGTGCGCGCCAGTCGCACACTCACCCGCCGCCGTCGACGCCGCGGGATCGTGGGACCCGGGGGGCGAGGCAGACGTGCAGGGCGCGCGACCAGGCGCAGACCTTCCTGAGGCGCCTGCGCAATAGCGGGCGCCCCGCCGCTGTTAACAGCCCCAACGTCCAGCAGATCTGCGCTGCTGGGGGTGCTCCTGAGTGTGCGCAGCTGCCCGGCGCGCGACAGCGGAACTGGCTACCAGCTGGTAGACCGGCGCGGTGGAGTCTGAGACATGACCTCGGATTGGATGCCGGAGCCGCGGTAAAATGTAACTCTCTTTCCGATTGGTGAGATTCGGGTACCACCTGGAGACAGCTGCTTTGGTGGCGTAGAACTGGACAGAGAAGAGGCTTGTTCCTGTCTCCCACCGTGGCCCTTTCATATCATCATAGGACGGAGCGTCCTTCAGGGGACCTGAAACGAAATGAGTCCCGGAATGTCCCTGGCTGTTTCCAAGTCCACACCTATTTCCACTCCCATTTTTGCCCTTAGTTAATGTACAACCTGCGGCTTAAGTGTCCCCAGGAAGAAAGACCGGCTGCACCAGGGCCCAGCACATTTCTAGAGCAGCTTCAGCCAGTTCCAGTGAGCTGGGTTAAATACACAGCAGTCTCTTGTCTGTCCTAACTTTAGAAGTGAGCACCTTTCTAACGCGAAGTCTAGTATTAGGCAGTTTACTAGTAATATTACAAGAAACACACAGACCTTGCAGTAAGGAACGAACAATGGGAACTAGTGTAGAAATGGGCACTTCTTTTGGCAGATGTGTATGGGATTGGGCTCCTCCCTTTGATTGGAAGCGTAGTTGGCCAAATGTAACTTTAAGCTTGCTATTGCAGTAGCAAGAGAAATTACCAAACAGAAATAGATTTATTTGTTAACATTTGGGTTACTCAGGTACACTTGGCAAAGAGCAGATAGTATCTTTTTCCTGCTTATATGTGCGGTGCCAAACACAGAACCAGACATAGAAAAAGTACTTACTAAATGATTATTGAATTTAATGGAATTTTTTTAGGTGCTCTGGATTCATTATCCCCATAAAATGCAAGCTCCAAGAGGACAGTTTATTTCCTGTTCACTACTTAGTGCCAGTAGGTGCTTAAAAACATACAATTAAATAAGAATATTAGTTATTTGTAATATTTTCAGGTGTTAAGGGTTTAGTGGCTGTCAACCCAGTACTGGGATTATGAATCTGCAAGAGTGGACCTTAGAAATCAAGGCCTGAGGTTGACCTCATGGGTCTGAGCTTTAGAGCTTAGCCATCCATCATCAAGACCCCAAAGTCTGCAGCTGTAGAGACAATTTGGGACTGGATGTAATCTGTTGACTACTAGTTTGTACCTCCATAATTTAATTCCAGGGTCAAGTCTCAAGGTGGGCCTGTGCACTGATGAATTGGGGCATCTTCGGATCCCCAGGCTATCAGAGCTGGAAGGCATAGCAGAGGCCATGCGGTCCAATCCCTAACATCTGCCAGATCTGAGTTTGAATACTCACTCTGCCACTAGGTACCTGAGCAATCTTGTTTGGGCCATTATCTCAACCTATTTGAGACTCCATTTTCTCATCTGAAAAATGGACCCTCTTACAGTACCAGCTTCTTACGGTTATTGTCAAATAAGTGAGATAAAGCAAGTAAAGAACTCAGCACAATGTCTGACAGATGATAAGTGCTAGCCATTATTATCACTATGAAATGTTTCTCAACCTGAACAGTGACCAGGGGAAGGCTGAGTTCTGGAGAATTTACATAATGTTCAATTTAGTAAAACAAATATTCTGGCATTTGGAGCATATGGTTATGCATATTGTGCTTGTTCATTCACTAGGTGCATGATGGATTAAACAGTAGATTAAATTGACTGTCATATAGGTCACATGTGTAATGGAGACAGCAGCTGGATTGGCATCAGAAGAGAAGGGCTCTCTTTATACACTGCCGCTGCCACTATCCAACTGACTATGTTTGATCGGGAAGTCCTATGCAGTCCGGTCTCTTTCTTACAGATAATATGGTTGTGAACAGATGGAAAAAAATGATTTATAAGGATCTTTTGGCACCAATCTTCTGTTCTCCTCCAAATATTTACCCCTCAACCACAAGTGAAAACCTGTTTCAGATGGGCTTCAGAAAGAATGATATTTAGAATCTTGTTCAACAGGAAGCCCAGAGGTAGGGCAGGCTTCCGGGCTGGTTGAATTAGCATCTCAACAATGTCACCCTGTACTGGGGTTCTTTCTAACTCTCTATCTGGCTATTGACAGAGTTGGCTTCTGGTGTCTTTGTGTTAGAGATTGAAATGTAGTAGGAGCAAGTCTAAACACACCATTTGCAAATAAGTGTTGCGTCCGGAGCCAATTGACTGGACTAAATTAACAAAAATTAAGTACAGCTGGAGTCTTTGCCTCATGGCCACGGTCAGGTTTGGAAGCAGCATGTTAGAAGCAGTTTATTCCCCCTTCCCCATTAACTAGACTCAAGATTTCGTGTTTATTCATTAGGAGTAAAATATTAAAAAAATTATATCCCATTTTCAAAATCAAGAAATAGCTCTTTAGGCAATTATTTCTCTTTTACACTCCTAATTATGATGCATAACTAATTGCTAGCAGAAGTTAGAGGTCACAGGAAAAATGTTTCAAAACAGAAGCCACACCCTGCCCAATTCCTGTCCACTGCTCAACGAAACAATTCCTGTCCACTGCTCAGCTCTGGTTAAACAACAAAACTGAAACTACTGAATCAAATTTCAAATCACTGCTTGGATATTTTAAGTTTTACTTTTTAATATATATTAAAGGTGAATGTACAGAGAACAATACAGATTTTATCTTAAATGTAAGGAGGGGAAAGGACCTTAGGAATCATAGCACTTCAGGGATTTTGAAAGTTCATGTAACAAAAACTCCACCCACTCCATTTTCAGCAAGATTACATTTGAATAATCTCAATCAAGTAAGACTCTAAAATATTTTTAAATGCTTCTGTTAAAAGTGATTCTGGGGGCTGCTGTTTGGCTCAGTTGGTTAGAGCGCAGTTCTCATAGCACCAAGGTTGCCGGTTCAATCCCCACATGGGCCACTGAGTTGTGCCCTCCACAACTTTAAAAAAAAAAAAAAAGGGGATTCTGGGCCGGCTGAGTGGCGCGATGGTTAAGAACTGGCTTGGGACGCCAGAGGGCCCCGGTTCGGATCCCACATATGAGGGCCAGTGACACTGCCCTCTACAGCTAAGATGCTGAACAACAGCTCAACCTGGAGCTGGGATGCCATGAGTCGCCGGCGACGGCGTAGGCGGCTGCAGCCCCTGCTGCAGTGGGTTGTCACGGGCTACCGTGAGTGGCCAGCAGCCAGCGTGAGCGGCCAGAAGCCGCAGTGAGCAGCCATCCAGAAGCCGGCGACTGGTCTGCCTCGCCTGGGAAGAGCGCAGTGATGGTGCCAACTTGGGCCAGTGAAGTGATGTCCTCCACAACTAGACTGAAGAACAAAAGGACAGCAACTTGTCTGTTCCCTTTCTCCCAATTCCCCAGTACTGTTCCCTTCCCCCCAATACCCCAATAAAAACCTTAAAAAAAAAAGGGATTCTGTATTATCTATCATGAACTATGTAGTGTTAGACTTTCTTCACTTTAAAGGAAGTTTTTTAAATATTTAATAAAGTTGTATGAGAAAAAGTATAAATTCCTTTGCGCTTTCCTATGTGGAAGGCAACGGGCTCAATTTTTCAAAAGATACAAGAATAAGTAAGATTCAGTCCCTGCCCTCAAGGTGTCTTTAGTCTAGAAAGGCAAACGGAGAGGCATCATGATTTTATTGCTTTTGCCTGCCCAGAATTCAGTTCCTCTTCTTCTGGTGGTTCCCTTGGGAAACTATCTCATTTTCACTCTTAGTCATGGAAGTTATATAGGGCCAAACGCAATTTCCCTCAGCTCCATCATGGACTCCTAGGGTAACTGGCTATCCTGGTTTGCCCTGAACTGAGGGGTTTTCTGGGACATGGGACTTTTAGTGCTGAAACCAGAAAAGTCCCAGGCAAATTGGGATGAGCTGGTCACACTTACTCTGATCCAAGCCTAGCCTTGTAGAGCCAATTTCATCCCCTTGACAACAGGAATTGGTTTTGTGATGGAGACATACCCCAGGCCAGATCAAAAAGACTCAATCCTGAAACTTCTGTTGAAACAGTTGAGAAAGATTCCGTCTTTCAGCAGCAGCAGCTAAATAGGTAGAATACAAGCCTGTAACGGTTGGTGATCATCATTGTGTCTGTAAAGGAAAAACCTATCTAGGAATGAGACCAACACAGAGAAAGCAGAGCCAACAGATGGAGCCTGATACCTGATGATCCTGAGCACTGGGTTTACCTGAAGCTCCCTCCCTGCACTTTTCCATTCATATGACTCAATAAATAAACCTTTTGCTTACACTAGTTTAAATTGGATTTCTGTCACTTATATCTAAGAAGGGGATAAGAAAAGAAAATATTTGTTTACATTATACTATCAAATAAGGTAAATGCTAAAAGAAGTCCAAAAGAGGGAGAGGTTAAGTCATGCAGAGATTAAATTCAGCTGCAGGAGTCAGAAAACGGATCCAGGATGAGATGGGCTTTCGTTGGTTCTTGCAGGTTAGATGGTGTAGTAGTTTGCTATGGCTGCTTTAACAAGTTACCACAAACTTAGTGACTTAAGCAACACAACATTTTTATGTTATAGTTCTGGATGTCAGAAGCCTATAATGGGCTAGCAGGACTGTGGTTCTTCTGAATTCTCTTGGAGGGAAAACATTTCCTTGCCTTTGCCTAGAGACCAAGTACATTCCTGGGCTTGTGACCCCATTCTTTATTGTCTAAGCCAGCAGCGTAGCGTCTTCTAACCTCTGATTGCTTCATTTTTCCCTTATAAAAAACCTTGTGATTGCATTGAGCTCACTCAAATAATCCAGGGTAATATCTCCCTCTATCAAGATCCTCACCATAATCACACAGTTCCTTTTACTATGCATGGTAACATAGTCATACATTCTGGAGACTGGGATATAGACATCCTTGAGAGGCCATTAATATTTGGCTGAGGGAACAACATCAGCATATAGGAACCAGGAAAAGAAAAGTGTGTTAATCCTTAAACATAATTCCATTTTCCTGGAAAATCATGATGTATATTTGGGGAGTCATTAGGATTGAGGCTGATTAGGTTAATTAAAACCATATTATTTTGTAGACAGAGGAGTAGTTATACTTAATTTAGTCGATAACGATGTACCAAGCACCATGCTATTTGCATTGTGGTAATAGAAATAAGTATAATATTGTCCCTGCTGTTAAAAAGTTTACAACCTAATAGGAGAAAACGACGTCTATATGTAGAGTGACCACATTTTCCCAGGATAGTCGCAGTTTTTGCCTATCGTCCCACATAAATATTCATAGTGCCCCTCCTTGTAGTCTAAACAATGTC